CCGGATCAGGGATGATCGTCTAGGATCTTGGATCAGCTCGACGGGATCTCTCAAGTGCCCCCGAATTTAGCTTTCCCGAAGCTAAACACGACTAGAAGCAGCCCAGCGCCAAGGGTTCGTCCATCATTTTTCGGCTCTCCGCCCGTGGAATGTTATGGTTGTGGTGGTGCTGGTGGTGATCAAGCTGGGAGCTCTGTGTTTATCTGGCTCACCTCGCCCACATTCTGCCTTTTGCTTCGTCAAGGCCTCAATCATCCCTTCCCTACATTCTCTTCTCTCCCTCGCTCCTTTCCCTTGACCATCTGACCTAGTCATTCATTTAGAGCCATTGTTTTTATTTTGATTCCTGCCCCCCTCCTTCGCCGGTCCTTTCGTCCTTCTCCCCGATCTCCGCCGCCTTTTCATTCTGTCTTCACACCAGCCTCTTCGCCGCCATCCACGCACAAGGAGAAAAAAGAAAAATCATATACAGAGAACGAAAAGAGACTTTGCTGTCGACACCGAATTCCTCGTCCCTTCCGACCGAAAAGTTCCGTCGCTCATAAGCAAGGCTCCTCGATATTCCACACTTTCTCCTTCCTCGCTTGACCTGCGGCTCTTTCCCCGAAACCAGGGCCGTTGAGAGCCATACAGTATTTTCTGTCGGAAGCAGGCATACAAAAGACATACAAGCCCCCAGCCCACCAATGCGTTCGAAATCCTGTCGACTGAAAGATCGTAGTCCCTCGTGAATGAAGCCGACGCAATGACGACCAACTCGTTGAGCGCAAAGAGCAGGCCCGCTTCATCGCTTCGCATCACTCCTTCGAATTCTCCAATCCTGAGACCGCCAACGCGCTCTTCCATACACAAAGCACCGTCTTATCAGACAGCCTTGTCCCTGCGGACAGTACTCGGAACAACCACAACTACCCCCCATGGATTCTCGAGCCATGAGCAAAGCAGGTCTTTCGCCCTCTGTGCAGGCTCAGTGGCGGTACTTGTTGAATTGGATGAGAAGGACTGTGTAAACCAACGCTTTTTCAGGGCACGGCCCTCGGCAGCCAGTGTGAATCCAGTTACATCGTTCTACCACCAATCCACGCCGCCTACAACGCCTGACAGTCGAGCAAAATTCTCTTCAAGTCTCAGATCGACCGCCCACAGCAATGCTTACAATGGCTCTCCGTGCCATGACACGGCTGATCCCGGTAGTCCCCGTGGTTGGTCTTCCCGCGAGAGAGTCAAGGCGGTTACGTGTACCGCAATCAGCCCTAATGGGGAGTTCCTCGCAGTAGGAGAAGTAAGCGAAGTAACCCTTGTGCCGCCGTCAACAATTCACTGACTTCTGCTAGACTGGTTATAGCCCCCGAATCATGATCTTCTCAACAGCGAAAGACACATCTTCGGAAATTCCACTTTCGATCCTTACGGAGCATACATTTGGTGTGCGTGGCCTGGCCTTCAGTCCAGATTCACAGTATCTAGCGACGCTCGGTGATGTGAATGATGGATTTCTTTTCGTATGGACCATCAACCCGAAGACTGGTTCGGCAAAACTTCACTCAACCAACAAGTGCACTTCCCATGTCCGTGACATGTGTTGGATGGGTCAGACATTAATCACGTACGTCCTAGCGGTGTATGCTGTATGTTGAGTGGGATATCAACTAACTCGTGTTTTAGTGTGGGAGTCCGACATGTGAAAGTTTGGAGACTTCCAGATGCAAGGCCTGGCTCCCCTCGGTCTCGCCTTACTGTGGAGGTCCCAAGCAGCTCCCCGAGTCAGATTCCCAAAGCATTTTCGGGACGAAATTGTTTACTGGGTCCGCTGGCCGAAAGCACCTTCTCTAGCGTAGCAAGCTTTTCCAATCGGGAGTCAGTCGTAGGCACCGATACGGGGGCTTTATGCTTGGTGGATGATGGTGAGGGATCCCAGAAATTATCCGTCGTTCAATACCTGGATTTTGGCATAACTTCCTTGGCGGTCGACTGGCACCGCTCTTGTGTTTGGGTTGGCGGAAGGGGCGGACAAATTCAATCTTTCAGTTTCGAGAAGATACGCTCATCGGCCGCTCCCCTGTCTCCCACACTTTCTGGCAGGTCATCAGCAGAGCAGGCGCTCAAGGGCTCTGCAATAATCTGCATCGGTTCTCTGGGGTCTCGTGTGGTAGCGGTGGACTCGACTAATGCTATTGAGATACATTCGGGCGACGAACTGGGCGACGAAGTCGACCAGAGAACCCCTCAGACCATGGTCTCCGCTCACAGAGATGCGGTGCTTGGGATACGTGGACTCAGAACTCCGAACCAGTATGAAGCTACTTTCTTCACATGGTCTCGCAAGGGCAGCGTGAAGTTTTGGAATTCCCGAGGGAAGTGCATGGATTCGCGTGCAATCGTTCTGGAACATCCCCCTGGCTGTGATGAGGACATTTCCAATGAGTTGAAAATAGTACGAGCTACAGATGAGATTGACCTGTTTGTCTCGGGTGATAAATTTGGTGTCCTAAGGTACGTTGCCGTTGTCTGTTAGGGATCAAGTTCATCGTTTTTGCTGACTAGAGCAACACAGGATGCTGCTAGGCTCTTCATGGGAGCCCTTACACGAGGTCCGAGCCCATGGAGGAGAAATCACTGACATTGCTCTGCATACAACACCGGATACGTGCTTGATCGCCAGCTGTGGACGTGACCGCATGGTCCAGCTATTCGAGAGAAGCAATAACAAATTTGAGTTAATCCAAACTATGGATGACCACGTTGGGGCCGTAAACCAGCTCCTCTTCCTTGACAACGGAGAGAGGCTCCTTTCGTCATCTGCCGATCGTACCATTCTCATTAGAGACCGTGTTAGCCGTGAGGTCAATGGCACGCCGATTGTTGCTTACTTGATCACCAGGGTGATCACGATGAAGGCATCCCCAGTGTCCATGACTCTTTCTACAGACACGGATGTCCTTGTCGTATCTACTGCTGATCGATGTATTCAACAATATGATCTTACTACCGGTCGTCAGATCATGTCCTTCCGAGCTATAGATTCAGATGGAAATGATACAGTTGTCATGAACTCTTTGACCGTGACTTCTGATATCTCAAAGCAGAGTTTCTCAAAGCTACTCTTCGGTGTCTCAACCACAGACAAGTCGATACGTGTATACGACTTGGAACGTGGCGTGCTTCTCTCAGCTGAATTTGGGCACACAGAAGGCATGAGTGATGCTTGCCTACTTGCAAATCACTCCAATGACTCCACCCAGTCAGACGACCGGATACTCATCAGCTCCGGCCTTGATGGGCTTGTTATGATCTGGGGAGTATATGTGCTTCCCCAATCATCATCGGAGCCCTTGCCAGTCCTACATAAAGACGATGATGCTCCTGTGAAGGAACTGACACTTGCTAAACCCCCTCTACGCAAGGTTTTGTCTAAAACTGAGCTTGCCGGGCTCCAACGACAGGAAAACATTGCTGTCACCCCCACTCCTGCTCGCGGCCATTCTCCGACTTTCTTACGGAAACTTTCCAAGTTCTCGCTGTCTCCCGCAAAGCACGGGAATACACCACCGCCCACTACGCCCTCGGCGACATCGAATCGTCGCTCCCCCACCTCTAGCGCTTGCCGAGACAAGTCACACCCTACATCTCCCTCTTTGCATACTTCAAAGACCGCAAGCGCAAGGAAGGCTGGCAGTAGTCGAGGCGAATCCCGCCGTTCCTCTCTTGATATTCGTGCTCGAGCCAGACTTTCCGGGAAAAGCGATTTTGGAAGCCTCAACACGTCCACAGAACAAGTGTGTCGTACACTGAAAGCTTACAGGAAGAAGCTCAATGGATCAGTGGGAAATATTCATGCCCAGAAGGAGCTCGAGAGAGAGCTGAACCTAACTCTACGGGCTCTCAATCTTCGAAGTAACAGCAGTGAGAGCGCGGAGACTGAGACTGAAAGCAGCGGAAAGGAGAATGAAAAGGCCCTTGCATGATGCGTCCAAGTGATCCATATATACACCCTGCCAGATACTGTCATCGGTTGTACGCTCGAAAGAGACGCCGAAGGCTTCATCAGGCCTGACGCTTCATCCGGAAAGGGTGAGCTAAAAATGGCGGGTCCACTGACGCCTGCCTTCGTTCACGCATTTATATCTTCTCGACCTTCGTTCTTTTCTTTCTTCGGCTTCCTTTCTCTATTATTCGCCCTGCCCTTCTTCGTAACATTCAGGAAATTCAGTGCTATCCTTAGACTTCATTTGTTCTCATGCGAGGGGTCTGCTTGGGTATGGTTTCATCTTATTTGCGCATTGCGGGTGTTGGATATTCTGCTTCCATCCTCTTGCATGATATTTGGGGCGCGGAAAGTTCGAGGAGTTTGGGGCGCATGTTTTCGACTTCTTTCTCCAAGACTTCCCTTGCAAGTTGACCCAGTCTGTCCTCATTGAACGTTCAGTGTTTCACCACACGAGGTGTTCTCTTGCAACCGCCATTGCACTATTGCCCTCTCAAAGATTCTTTCTCTTTACTGTATCGGTTCATTTTCAAGTCCTTTTTATCTACCTTTCATTTTCATTTTCCCCGAATCCTTGTTCATCGTTCGGATCTTTACCTACCTTCTAAATGATACCCAAACATTGTCGCTGTCTGCGACAGAAGACTGTACTCTTCTGACTCTTATTTATATGCCTTGTTGAACTTTTATCCGATGCCAATATTGATATGGCTCTGCAGTGCCCTTTAGAGATTTCCCCACATCCACAGCCAGCCCTGACATAATTTCCTTATTGCAGTCTCCTGCTGAATGACATTATATATCAGAGATTACGAATATAGAGAACTGAATCATGTACTAGTATTAGCACCTTCTCTTCAAATAGTTAGTACTGGTGGTCTACCATACCGTGAACAGGAAGAACAAGAATCACAATACCTAGTTGCAAATCCCCCGCACAAAAAGGGATACGAAGATAGTAGTAGCTACTGATACTGGAGATCTTACTACGGTAGATCTATGCACTATACGGGCTTTATCCAAGCACATGCGAGCCAGTGCTAACATCGTAGCGTGGCTCGACCATCAAGAATCCGATGCAACTCTATGGAATGATTTAACCACGAAAACTGACGATTCACTCAAAAAGCACCTTCATCGTTCTCACCAGAGACCTCCTCGCCGCAGTCGACTCCTCATCAACCCCATCCGCGTAAAAGCGTCGCCACCTATCAAGGTCAATCTCCTTTGCATCCACCCAAAGCCGGCCACGATACCAAATCTGCGCGCCGATCCAGATGACAACGACAGCAATGACGCTGATAAAGTTCGCAAAAAAGTTTTTAGCGTTCGTCGCTTCACCCAGAGGCCAAATACTTAAATAAAGTTCCAGGCCAATCAATCCAATACACCAGATCAGTGCCCACCATGTGGCATAGGGATATGACCTTGTCCTCCAGGGAAGGCATGCCTCATCTCGACCTTGCACCTTCCAGCTATATCGAAATCGTAGATGAGAAAGAGATATCATACCCCATCCGAAGAGTGTGAGGAGTGAGACTAGGTTGGATAGCCATTGGAAGACCTCAGCTCCGGTGTTGGATACGTTGATGTAGGCGAGCGCGCCTCCTATCCCGATGGTCGCAATATAGCCGGCCCATGGACGGCCAATGTGATCTGCTATGCCGAAAATCTATCGGGATCAAGAATACGGACGAATGGACTATGTTAGTACTAGTTTCTGAAAGCCAAGCTCTGCGAAACACACACTTACTTACTTACCTTATGATTCATACCCACATGCGACAATCCCATGAGCATCCGGGAGCCTCCATAGCCGGAAATACTCCCTGTAGAAATCATCGAAATGAAGATAACAGCGTTGGTCATGTGTGCCATTACGGGAATGCCTGCATCCTTGAAGGCAATTACAAACGGCGACGCATTGCTTCCTGACTGTCCGAACAAGTTCGGATTCGTTGGATCAACCGTCAATGTAATCATGAGACTCCCGAGAATGTAAAAGAGCCCAAGACGAAGCCATATAGATCTGACGGCTTTCGGAACCGATCTTCGCGGGTTAGCTACCTCGCTGGCTACCATTGCTGCGTTTTCTGTCCCCGCCATACCCAGGCCTCCTCCACCTCTACATCCACTACATCGAAATGTCCCCCACCCCAGAAAAGGGCATCTACGCCGCTGACCATCTCCGCGACCTCGTCCCTGACGCCGGCCATATCCACCACATGCCCACACACCTTGACATCCTAATCGGCGACTGGCGCGCCTCCATCAGGTCCAACTACCGCTCCACTCTCGCAGATGACCGCTACGCCGCCAAAGCCGGCCATAATAACTTCTATACCTTTTACCGCCTCCACGACTACCACTCGCTCATCTACGCCGCTATGTTCGCAGCCCAGAAACGTACCGCCCTCGATGCAGTGTCCCGCATGGAAGCCAGTATCCCGGAGTCTCTCCTCCGCATGCAATCTCCTCCTATGGCCGACTGGATCGAGCACTTTGTTGCTATCCGTCTGCACGTCATGGTCCGCTTCGGGATGTGGGAGGAGCTTATAAATGATACCTCTCTTCCGGAAGACCAGGATCTGTATGCTATCACGACAGCAACAACCCACTACGCCCGCGGGCTCGCCTACGCCGCTACCAATGATGTCCCCTCGGCCCGCAGGGAAGAAGCATTGTTCCTGGCAGCCCGGGACCGCGTCCCGCCCACTCGCCGCGCGTACAATAGCAGAGCTGCCGATATGTTGGCCGTGGGGGTCGCCATGCTGAAGGGGGAGATTGAGTACCGAGCAGGGAACTATGAGACGGCGTTTGCTGCGCTGACGGAGGCGATTGTGTTGGAGGATCAATTGCCGTATAGTGAGCCGTGGGCGTGGATGCAGCCTGTTAGGCATGCTTACGCGGCGTTGAAGCTGGAGCAAGGGGAGGTGGAGGAGGCGGCCAGGGTGTATAGGGCTGATTTGGGGCTGGATGAGTCGTTGATTCGTCCCAGGAGACATCCGAATAATGTTTGGGCGTTGCATGGGTATCATGAGTGTTTGGTGAGGTTGGGGAGGGTAGAGGAGGCCAGGGCCGTTGAGGGAGCCAGGAATGTGGCGTTGGCCGGGGCGGACGTGCCGATTTTGGCGTCGTGCTTTTGTAGATTGGAGGTTTTGAAGAAGGAGAATGGGGGGTGTTGTGGTGGGAAATAAGCTCGGAGGAGCGGGAGGGTTATAGTAAATGTTAGGTCCTAATGTAGGATCATTTGCTAGGGTTTGTTTATTCTAGAGGGATTGTGTACCTTTACATAGTATGCAAGTAGTAAAATGAATTTGCCGAATTTTGGGTTTGTGAGATAATTTGATAGTATTACTTGAGGGTATTCCTTTCCATGATTTTCACAAAATACCATTCAATGATTTACGCATGTTCTTTATACGACTCGGTCATTTATCTATACGCCAATTATGGAATATTAGTACGTGTGAATTCTTCCGTTACTGCGGAGTATCTAAAACCTGCAACTTAGAATACAGTGGCTCCATCTTGTTCTGCGCCAAGGCATCTGGCTGACGCTCTTTCAGCCAATCACATTAGCGAGTTTTACATCCTCTTTAGCCTCGTTCTTCAAGGCCCACTCCTTTTGGGATTTTCTTTCCGTATACAAAGAATATAATCCCCCTCCCCACCTACGAAACTGCTTGGCCTGAAGTTTTGCCCTTATAACATGAACATGAAGTAAAGCGAAACATGGTGTCTATCACAGCCGTACGGGAGAATAACGGCGCTATCCCTCGTCTGTATGGGTCTAATCTGGTTGCGGTATTTGGTGAGTCTCGAGTTTCGTTCTCAGAAATATACGGAATCAAAGCTGAGTATTGGTGTAGTCGGCGGAACAAGCGGAATAGGCGAATCAACAGCGCGCGCATTCATTCGCAATACAACCACCTCCCGTGCCTATTTGATTGGGCGCGACCAGGCAAGAGCAAGTCGGATTATTCAGGAACTGCGGCATATTAAGCCAGACTCGCAGGTTGAGTTTATCAAAGCGGATGTGTCTCTTCTCCAGGAGGTTGATGAAGTTTGCATGGATATCAAGAAGAAAGAGGATCGATTAAATCTGTTGTTTTTGAGCCCGGGGACTGGGTCGATGAATGGACCAGATGGTATGATAGCCCGTAAATGATGATTTTTGATGCTTGGTGCTAATCGTTGTCCTTTACTAGAGACTAGTGAAGGACTGGACAAGAAATTAACGCTCCACTATTATGCCCGGATGCGGTTCGTGGCAAATCTCCTCCCACAGCTTCTCAAGGCTGGCGAGGATCAACAACAGCAACGGCCGAACCGGCTTTCGCGTGTGGTATCGGTACTTGAAGCCGGAGGTGAAGCAGCACTTCATTTAGACGATCTCTCTCTCAAAACCAACTATTCGCTCCGCAACTGCGCAAAGCATGCGATTACCATGAACTCGGTTGCTATGGAGCATCTGGCTGCTTTGTATCCACAAGTCTCATTCATTCACTCTTTTCCCGGACTCGTGCGGACACGTCTAGACCGGGACCTGGGTGGCATTGCCAAGACTGCATTAAGCGCCCTGCTTTTGCTCGGACGGCCATGGGAGACTGGGTTCGAGGAGAGTGGAGAGAGACACTTGTACGCAGCGACGAAATTGCAGTTCGCGCCGCGGATGTGTGGAGACAAGATGGATGCTGCTGAAGGTTCGGATGGGAAAATTGGAAGTGGGTTCTATCGGCTTGACTCCACCGGATCAACCTATAAACCCAGTCGGATCATGCAGGTTTATCGCGAGCAAGGGATAGGAGGGCTCATCTGGGACCACACACTCGGTATATTTGAGAAAGTCCGCGGCGGATCGAAACTTGGTGATGAAACGAAGTAGAGCGATGCTCGCTGAATCAAGCACATCTAATCGAGCAGCAACAGTCGAATATTATGCGTTTGTAGTCATAGAGTGCTCACATCGAGCTCGTCCAGTCCTCGTCTAGCTCTCCAGTAATTACTAGAGACCAAAAGTTCCTGACATCCTTTCATAACCCACGCCCACTTCTGAACGAACAACTCGGACACTTCCCAACTCTGCGGAAGCCAAGGGTCACCCCATACCATCATACCAATGTCGCCGTTAGTAGGATCCATCATGTCCTCGCAGAGCTCGCAATCATCAAACCCCTCCCCAGCAGTGATTAGATTATCGCGCATCTGCGGAAACGGGAAACAGTCAAACCAGGGATGATGAGGGACGGAGCATTGAGTAGTGGTGGGCAAAAGATTTAGCGGAACGCTTGTCTCTTCATCCTGCTGCTGCAGATTCCGGTTGGTAAACGGAGAAACAACCTCATTATCCTCCATCGCCTGTAAACTCCACCCCAGTACGCCCATGATATCCACAAACGCACGCAGAACGTTCATCTTGGACAAGGTCAACAGATGATCCAGACATGGATCCGCCGCGTAGTACCGTTCGTAAGCTGCGGCATGGAAGCTCATCATCATGGCTACAGCCCCCGACAGCGATGTCGGCCGCGGAAGCAGCAATTTCCGCGTGCCTTGGTTTGCTGAATCTGGATCTGGTCGTGGGAGAATCAATGCATAGTGTCGTTTTTCCTTACTCCTGGCCTGCTGCTGTGCGATGAGAGCTCTTTTCTGATCACGTTTTCGAGCCCCTGAAAGTGCTACGATTAGGTTTGTTCGAAACAAGAGCCGCGGTAGCCGAACTATACTCCGCAGAGTAACAAGATAGTGGAGTAGATGAAACTCACTCATAGCACGTTGGTTAATTCTATTCTGCAGCTTCTTGCGAAGTGCGGCATCGGTGATGCCCGTCCAATTCTCATTGAGGCGAGAGACCCGATCCTGCGGAGACATGAGAGGAAGCATGACTAGTGATTAGTAGTATAATGGATGACGCGAGCTGAGCGAGTGAGAATTTATGTTCTACAAATGGACTGCAGGAAGAGACGGAAATAGTAGGCAGACAAACTCCGAGGCACGGGGAGGCAAATTTAATTACATAAGAAGCATCAATACCGGTACTGGTACCGTATTTAGTGCCAAACGGCTTGAAACTTTCAAATATCCAAACATGCACCACTTACTTATTATAAACATGCATTAGTGAACCATTGTGTCGACAGCATATCGCGATACATCAGGACCGACTCTGGCCTTTATTGACAGGTTGTTCAGGACTCTGAAGAGGGTTCTTATGACTTCAACGTGTTGAAGTGATTTGGCAACCATCTCTCTCACATCAAAACCACATATTAGAATGGCATCAAAATGAGCATTCCCATCATGACATTTACCTTCTTTCGAAGATGATATGAAATGTATGAGATCAGAAGCATAATTACCTACTAATGTATCCAGTGTCCGCAGCATCATCCCCATAATCCAGATCACATCCGTCTCTCCAATATACTACCGAGATCAAGTTCAAGACCCACCGAACCGGTGCAACTGGATGACTGCTCTTGAACCAATCATCGAACAGTAGGGTGTATACAAAAACCACTCATATCAGAGAAATGGCTATATAATGACCGCCTCAACCCTCATGTCCCAGTCCCATACTTCATACTTTAACCTTCATTAGCATTGATTAAAACACTCCAAGATGACATTCACCCCCCAGACCCCGGCCGCCGAGATCACGGCTTCCTTCCCAGAAGCCGTGCAGGGCAAGACCATCCTCATCACCGGTGTCTCCCCAGGCAGCTTGGGACTCGCAACCGCCGAAGCCTTCGCCTCCCAGTCGCCTGCAAACCTGATCATCTCAGGACGATCCACCGAGAAAGTTCAAGCGGTCATCACGCACCTCGAAACAACCTACCCAGCCACCACCTACCACGCCCTAATCATGGACCTATCATCCCAGAAATCCGTCCGCGCCGCAGCATCCCAACTCCTGGCCGATACCTCCATCCCCACCATCGACATCTTGATCAACAACGCAGGCGTTATGTCCATTCCCACCCGAACCCTCACCGAGGACGGACTCGAAACAACCTTTGCAACAAACCACATCGGCCACTTCCTCTTTACCAACCTTATCCTACCTAAGCTGATCAAGGCCGCTTCTACCACCACCACCACCACCAAAGCCTCCAACTCCAGCCTTGCCCCCCCAACAAGAATCATAAACCTCTCCTCCTTCGGCCACCAATTCTCCCCCGTCCGCTTCACCGACCTCTCCTTCACCAAACTACCCAACGAACTACCCGAGTCCGAGCGTCCCGACCTCCAGAAAACAGAGTACCTCACCGGTAACTCTCACGCAGACGAGGCATACTACGGCTTCTTCTCCTACGGGCAGTCCAAGACCGCCAATATCCTGCACGCGATATCCCTCAACCAGAAACTACTTGCTAAGTACAACATCGCTGCGTTCGCCGTACACCCCGGCACAGTCGACACCGGGATTGGTCGACATGCGACACCTAGCGAGATCGAGACGGCCCTGCAGAGGGTGAAGGATTTGGGGATGGATCCTACGCCGAAGTCAAGGGAGGTGGGGGCTAATACGACGGTCCTGGCGGCGGTGGATCCGCGTTTGAAGGTGGTGGATGTTGATAGTGAGGATGGACAGGTTAAGGGGGTTTATTTGGCTGATTGTAAGGTTGATGATGGGGGTGTTGTTGCGTTTGCGACTAATAGGGGCATTGCGGAGAGGCTTTGGAGTGTGAGTGAGGAGCTTGTGGGGGAGAGGTTTGATTTTTAGATGTGTGTTGGGTTTCCTCTTGTTGGTGATTATAGTAGAATAGTAAGTGAGAATCTGAATTTTAATGTTATGCCTGGTTACAGTAAACAGCATAGACCGGGTGAGATAGGATTTCTTCTACCCTTGTAGTATGTAAATAGCAATCTATACAGTAGCTCAATTAAAACATCAGAGTTAAAGATTAGGTCGAGGTACGTTAGTGGTTTTACACTATCCATACTTAGTAAACTGAAGTGGATCCGGCGATACTCAGGGCGAACTACCATGGCTCTGATTGGTCGAAAAAGCGTCATCCAGGTGCATTAGCGCCAACTTTGAATCCTTGTAAAAGGAAAACGAAAAATACAGCCCTAAGAAGGTACTTGACAGTTTTACAGTTGCGGAAGATAGCGTGTAGAGGATAATTGAAGTCATGGGATGAAATGGTACTAAGATGAAACGCGTGTGTTTATATAAATCAAAGTCTCGAAAGCGCATGCATATTAAACTAATACTGATGACATTGCTGTTCCACCTTGGTAAGAATATATATCTTCCCTTTAAACCCCTACTGAATACCATTCTCCCTTTCCCTTTCCTCCCACGAAATCCCCACGATATCCCCACGATGTCATTGAATATGGAAAGCTTCACATCAAGTCAGCATCTCCAACTTCCTCCGTAATAATCTTCCCAGTCCACCATCATCTTGTGCCATATCAGCAAGGCTGATTGCCTTTCCCGCCCATCGTCGGCAATCCGCATCCGCTGCAGCGAGGTAGTAATCCACCGCTCGATTGAATGCTACGGTTGATAACCATCGTATCTCATCTTCGGGATACCCCGGTGGTGACAGATTGTCATTTTTCCCGGCTTTAGCATGTCTTCCTTGCACTAAACTGAGAGACTGATCGAGAATTGTCTCTGCGAGCTGGTACTCTGCTGCGTCGACGGAGAGTTGGAATAGACAGCGAATGTAGCGGGGAAGGGTTTGGATGATGAAGGTTGACTTGTCTAGGAAGGGGGATGGTGAGGCGTGCAGGGTGCGGAGCAGGGTCTGTCATGTATTGCGTGATGATCAGCTGGCATGTATGTCTTGTTGGGTGCAACGTAGTGATTTCCGGGGTGAATCTGGGCTGTATTCAAGGACTAATAGGTGAATGCATACCTTGACTGCTTGTACTTTGGCGTTTAGCTGACCTTCGGAGCGGAGGATACCGTCTAGAAATACTGAGCTGAGTCTCTCGTTCAAGAATGGGCTAGCTTCCTCGATGATTGTACAGACACCTGTCCAGTTTTTCAAGAATATAGATGCCTCGAGATCGAGGGCAAGGATGGTACGGTGCTGGGAGTGCCGTTTTTTATACTGAGCATTAGTGCTGTGTTCGACCGTTTGGCTCCTGAACAGTTCTCGAAAGTGTGTACCAATCCTGTGGATAGCGCTGTAGTGCTTTTGCTGGATGCTACATTAGATTTTTATATAGAAGAGCGCTGGCTGAAAGCGAACCTTCTCATCGAAGCTAATTTCTTTGCGGGCTTCTATCGCGATTCTGGCTATTTTGAGAGAGTCGCAGAGAAGATAGTGTTCTGATGGAACAATATGCTCTGTTCTATCCGTTTGTTGACACGTATCGGCGAACTATGCTATGTTAGAGGGAACCGATTCGCTTCGGAATGCTTATACTTGCTTTGATAGAGATGTCTAGTAAATGCACGACGGGCTCCGTTTTGGTCGATCTGAATACTCTGGAAGCAATGCTATAACTGGCCTTGGCAAACCATGCAAGCTCTTCAGCGGAAAATACGCGGTTGTCCGGTGCTCCGCGACTTGCCAGGACCAATCCTGGCTAGTCAATCAACAGCCGCCAGGCTTTTGCGTGAGACTTACCTTGATTCATCAATGTCTGAATCTTGTTCAGTAATGTTTCATTTTCCCATCCGGATTTCTCGAGTTCGGTAGAAAGAAGTTGAAGAGCAGGCATATTTTGAGGTCAGCACGAGCATCTCATAATAGAAGGTCAGCCATACTGTAACAGTTTTGCGACATGGTATCCCTCTGCGCCAGAACACTTCGCGGACTTAAGAAGTTGCTCAAGACTCTCCAGCCCCTGCTGAGTCTTTCCAAGCTTGAAGGCTTCTACACATGACAAGAGGTAAGGAATGGTTTTTGCGTCCCCAAGGAGCGACTCGAGATATATGTTTGCTTTTCTGTGTTAGATCAGATGTCTATTAGAGTGCTTGAGGTTTACTTACATGCGATAGGCTCGCTGCTCTTCAGGCATCGTGTATACATAAGGTACAATGTTGACGGACATGATCTGCATTCTTCGGGCATTCGATTGAATATAGCAATCGCTTGTGAGGCATTCGGGTCATGTGAAGTACACATGAGGAACTGTCTGCTTTGTGTTATTTCTTGTTCTGGGGCAGATCTATCAGGGGTGGACTAGCTACCTAAAAAGCTTAGCCTTGTTTGCAAGAGAAATCTGAAACAATGGCTCTTCTAACAAACAAAGACACCATTTGCCTGCTACTGATTTGTCGTCATTCGAGATCGCATTATTGACATGTTTCCAAATGAGCTGTATCTCAATGAGCCCTACTATAGTAGCTGGAGCTGTGATAAGGGCTAACGTACGATGAGTGTTGCTTCTGTTGCCGCTTCACTCAACGGCTGTTTATAATGCCTCCTTAAGCTGGCAATTGTCTCCTGGAAGATTTCGAGGCTAGTAATTGCACACTTCTTCGAGTGCATCAATCCATGTACGAGTGTTATAAACACTTTCTCGATTGAAGTTTCGTTATTTGGGAGAAGAATGACCTGTTCGAGCAGTTCCTTGAGCATCATAATGGAGACCTCTGGGCTGACACATTGTTAGATAAGCATACGAATCTGAACGATACACTCACAATGTACCAGGCAGCTTCTGTATATAATACATGATGCTACTCTCAATATTTAGCACTGGACAGCATACACGGGTCATACTGGCCCATTTACATTGTAATTTGTGAATCTTTGAGTTCAGGCGATTCAATGGTACTTTGTAGCACTGTCGACCATTATGTCAGTCAAGAAGGGAGGGCTCCCACAGGATATACTTCAGTGACCTTGCGAAAAGACATTCTCATCTAGTTCTTCCTTGCTCAGTAGCTCAAGTTGGATGATCTGAATTGGGAACATCCCACCGTAATGCTTTTCGATACTAGCCGATATATAATGACTGGGCTTCACGGCCTACAATCTTCAGTACATCCATGGCTTTAGCAAGAAAGCCACTGGGCTCTTTGGTATCAAGACGAAGACCGGCACGAACTGTCCTGCATGAGGTATTTGCCATGATCATCAATCAGGAGCAACCTACCAGAAGCGTGGAGTATCATTAGCTCTTTATTCTTTACTGACAGTACCGGTGACTGGCCCATATGCCTTATGAGCTCACATGCTCTCAACGCCCTTTCTAACCACTTCACAGAGACATCATGTTGCTTGCGTGAAAGCGCACAGTTACCGATCTTATAGCATATGTCCATGACACGTTCTTGGCCCCTGCCGTTGTCCGATACTGGTATCTTTGAAAACAAGTGTTCTGCGATGTCGAGTCTCCCTTGTAGCCATGCCTATATAGATCTAACAGTCAGCCTAATGTAAATTGTGGACGGGTAGACCATACCAAGTAGACACGAAGCATGTAGTACTCTATGGTATACTGTTGAAACTTTGAATCCTCGATGTCACTTCCAGATTTCTCAAGTTTGTCTAACCGTATAGCTGCAGTTTCGATTATCTTTTGGCTTAGATCGAGATAGCCATTCTCTATATCGAATAAATTAGAGCTATGTTCAGGGAGACAATGAAGAAAGCAACGAGTTGTGGATTTTACCCATGCATGTCGATACTATGCTAAATGCCGTCTCTAAGGCCCTGTTGCTTCCTGGGCGATGTTAACTGTCCTTTACGCATACAATAGTCAACGGGTTATACTTACCCGTGCCTCGATATGGTGCGGCATATTCCAACATCGCGTAAGCGAATACCTTCACTATGCCGTACTTAGTGAAAGTCCCCGCGTCGCTGAGAGACCTGGAAGTACCTTTGCACACCAGGGCAACTTCTTCTTTTCTGTCTCTATAGACGGTCATGAGTTGTATGCAAGTATTCCATAGCGTCGTTCCTTCTTGGTCAAACCGGCGCCGAGTCGAGGACGAGGGACTCGCTATCAGCAAAGGTAAATCATTCAGTTGCTGATCCAGTTGAGCCATAGATTTGACGTCTAAACCTAGATGACGCTTCTTTTGGTCGATAGCGAGTCGATCGGTTAGGTCAGCTGCGAAGTCTGTTGCTTCGTTCTTAGTAGATGAGGCAATAAGAGGTATGGAACGACAGGCAGAAAAGGTGCTTCACCTAGAATGGCGTCCATTCCTGCTTTTGAGCTGCGATGTGTCGTTACTCTAGTCGTAGCTCTAATGGCTTAAAGAAGACGACTGTAGTCCTGCGGATACTTGACCGACACCCAAAGCGAAGTACGGAATGACACCTGACCAATCTAGTCCATTTCGGGTTCACGTTACAAGGCCACAATCTACCTTCCCCCGGAAATAAGTCACGCCTTGAAGATGTTATGGTACATTTTGGATGGCCGTATAAATCAATGACAGAAGGGTATGAAGGAAACAATATCGCGAAGCTCCTCCATTGGGAGGACTAGTAAGCACCAAGAAAGAAGACAGTAACTAGGCGTCAACCCACGCGAGCATTTGCTAGGCAACAACAAAAAAATACGAGGGGAATTACTCCAGGGCTTATTTAGCCTTTCGCTGTGACGGCAGAAAATTCCCAATAATGAGTGATGGGCTAGAACAACAGCAGTCAGCACCGAGCCATTGCATCGTCTGATGATGTCACTCACATGTTATGGGTATCTCTTCGGATTGTAAACGAGAAGCAACAGGGGATTCCATCTCCAGGGGAGTTGGAATTGGGATTTTTCAGGGTGCAGCTTGTGAGCATGGCTTTTTGCGTGTTGTCAAAAGCAATAGCTCCGAACTTCTCCCAGTAGCTCACTAGCTGGTCTTCCACGATGATCTCGTGGATTGCAAGCTTTCCCTGAATATGACAGTCATATTAGACATCGACCACAGAGAGTTAAGTCTGCAGAAATCACTTACGTCTCGGAGAGTCTCAATCGGTACGCCGATCAACTCTGCCATTTCTTTGTTCCCACGGAATATCTCACCCGTTCGTCTCCAGCAACAAGCCGGAATAGCCATACTAGCAAAAACTCGATCATATTCCATCAGGCTTCGTTCGAACCACATCTCCACGAGGATGAGTTCAATGTCGGTCAGGCTCTGCATTCGCTCACGAAACTTCGGCCGAAATTTATCTAATTGTCGGAGGATCTTCTGCCGCGAGGCTTGTTGCAAGTGTCGCTCCATATATTGATTCAGCCTGGCATAACCCTTCACATAGTTGAATGGGCGAAGGAGTCCCGCGTCGTATTTTGCTTTAAGAAGCTTGTTCATCCGCTCCTCTGGCGGGTCGGACCCTGATGGATCTGCTGCGGTCATGTAATAGGTCTCTCTCGCCTTGTCATTGCTCACTGCAGATGTAGGCCCTTGTAAAGGTTCGCCCTGAGCCTGTTGATTAGGTTGGGGTTGCGCAGGTTGAGACTGCTGCAGAAGGCTTTGATTCGAGTTTCCCAGAGTCGCCATAGAATTGAGTAATGACGGGTCCGAGTAAATACCCTGCAGCTCATCATTCTGAAACACTCCTCCATCATCCAAAAGGCTATTGCTCAGAAAGTCACCAAGGAGGTTGTACTCATTAGTGACCTCTGGTGCATTGAACATGTATGAAGGGTGAAACGTGTGCATGTCCTGGAATTGGCTTTGTCCACCAAGCCATTCGTTGTACCCAATCACTTACTAAAGTCAATATGATGCACTAGACGACTTTATAGGTAGGACTCACTTTGCTGTTGAGCATTAAGACCTTGGCCAGAAGAAGCCATGTTGCCTGGCTGCTGCACAGAAGTTACAGAAGCGGTGGGTAGGCCGATGGACCCGTCGGGTAGCATTTGCTGACCTGCAGCTTCTGGGCCGTCGACGTTTCTGGGCATTTGGACACCGGAATACTCATTATTCGAAGAGCCCTCGTCATCGGCAGCCGAATGATCGTTTTCACTCCGCGACCGTTTTGAAGGTTCCCGAGGTTCATCGTGGCAAAGGTGGCCAATATTTCGTTTTATGCATCGCGTGCAGGGTCGCTCCTACATTTCCCGCAAAGCAATAACCGTCAGCAACTAGATCTTCGAAGGGTAATTGCACTCCACGTTTCACAGGAATGCGCTGGAGGGTAGAGCTCAGACGGGTCGTACCGAGTCGCAAGTCATATGCTGTGCCACGCGAGCGAATGCCTTTCAGTTAGCAAATTACTCCTCTAGGCGTGGAGCCCAACAAGTATCAAGGGCGATGTTTGTTCGGGTTGATTGAAGTGAGGGGCGAAGAAGGTAATCTTGGTTGAGGGGAAAGACTTTACCGATCGCCGACAGTAAACGCATGCTGCAAACGTGGCACTCTAATTAGCAACGTGGTCGAAACAACAGGGGGAAAAGCTGAGTCGCTGCCTTGATCCTTGTAGGATGCGTAGCAAATAGCGCCATACCATGATTGACTTTGCGACGTTTTTTGGGACTTGGGTGAGCCCCCGCGGCAGCACCCTCAGTCTTGAGGGACGGTGTATTCTGCGAGTTGTCTTTCGCACCAGCATCTGCCCCAGTCTGTTCCTCCTCTGTCACATCCGGTTTTCTCTCCGCTGTCCCATTGCTGGTTTGTTGATCGGGGCCTAGACCCGTTGACGCCGCACTTTTCTCCGTCATTGATCGCTAGGCGCAAGGTGTTGCGCAGGGTTCGGTTCGCCGTTAACACTGTTGCTGTCGATTGGAACACAAACGGGGAGCAAAATGGCTGTCTGCAGACATTCGACTGGGTGTGAATGGACCGAACAAGCAGAGGGCGAAGGTATCGGGCTGATCTGTAACGTGAAAATGTGAGGGCACGCGCGATGCGATCGGCTCATCGAAGTTCCCCGCTGGTGCGGGACTTGGATCTTTCATTTCCCGGGCCCCTCCGCATTGGGGCCGGCAGCGGCGAACCCGGTTAGTAGCCTCGGAAAAGCATATGAGCGGCTAACCCATGTGTGACACTATCCCTCACGGCGCGAAGCAAAGCAGCCAATATCAGTTGTTCAAGCGAAAAGGTAAATACAAATTAAACAGAATCCTCGTATTTCTGATGTTAACATATAGGACGACTATCTGTCATTGAATTTAGTTACAAGGTTTCTACCTCGGTTAACTTGCATCTAGCATATGCAGCCACATGCTCTTACACTGGGCGGTTTTGCAGAGTAGGCAGTAGAGTCATTTATTTCCTTTCCAAAATCAGGCTTGTATTAAGTATTTTCTGGGTGGCTAATGACCCGTGAATGATGCCCCATTAGCATCACTAGCCACAAGCTTCTTATATACCCACTAGACTTCTTTGCCTGTATTTAACTAGTGGGGGTCCGCCGTCAATATCTGGCTAAACTCCACTTAGAGCTAGAGGATTCCCAGAACCTGAGTCTTGACAAAGAACGAGGTAGAACACGATGAGGCCCAGCTTGTCCTGAATAGGAGGACCAATTCTCCGAGGGGCGGGAATTCGTTTAGCCCCATAAATCACTGGAGTCCCGTGAGGGATATATACAGTCGATGCGGTAGACCTTCCAGGTAGCGTCAAACTGGCTCGCGATGCCTTGGTCGACCGTAGGATGTCAAATACCGTCCTGCGCATGACTCGTTTTCCAAGATGTCTTGAAGACTGGCATGAGGCTTGCATCTTCGAGTACGCGCTCCAGACGGCGTACAAACTGTAACAGCACAATCGTTTTGGACTTGCCATTGATGCAGATGTTTGTAGGTTCAGTCTTCGGACATAAATGTTAGACTCAATGCTGCATGCGACCTGCCAATTGCGTCTTTCAAACCGGCAACGGGTGCGGTATTGTTTTGCATTGACTTCAGATGCCCAGTCAGTTGTTTCAAGATATTCGAGACTTCTGGGTCATTTTCAAGCTAAACACGATATGTCAGCAACATATATCAAGCACGGGTACAGAGGAGCTGGGGCTGAAAACGCACCTCGTCGAACATCGTTTGGGTTTCTTTTCCTCCCGCAAGGGTAAATTCGGACTGCTTCTGGTTATACTCGTCAGGCAAGCTGTCGACCTGCCGCAGAACAGGGTGCTCCTAAAAAAAAGGTCAGCGTCATCGTAATTCTCTTGACTTACTCGCGTCAAGGCCACACTTACGTTCTTCGATTGCCTCTTCCTCTCCGCTTCTGCTCGCTTCGCATTTCTCTCCATCTCCTGCAGTTGCTTTTTCTCTCTTTCGAGCATAGCTTCTTCCTTTTCGACTTCAGCCTTCAAGAGATCAATACTATCAGTCACTGTGGCTAAAGTAGCCTCCAAGGAACACTGCAAACACGTGTCAGTCATATCTTCAGTGAGGTTTATCGAGCGTTACTTACATGCTCCTTAAGCGCTGCCTCGTACTCAAAGACAGAGTCTTTCGTGACTGGAGGAAATGGCATGCGCGGAAGCCGCTTTCCCAGACTATAGAATTGGAAGATTACAGGTCAGTATAATCATTTCCCTTGAGACAGAAGACCAGGAACTATACTTTTTCACAACAGCTTGAACAGCAGCCTGTGCTTCGATGCGTTTGCCCTCGTTCTGCTGTCTTACAATAACTGGACGCTCCAGGGCCCGAAACATATCGCGCACCCTGTCTTGAACCGGCTCCGGAAGTGTGGACCACTTGGATTTGATGGTCCTTTCGGAGACCTGCCGGACCTGGGGCTTCAAGTAGGCATAAGGCTTGTTGCGCGTCTCACTCCTTTGCTCGGGTCCATTGCTGGAACGCTTCCGCTTGGGAGGCATGTTTGACCTGTAGATTATCCTATAGGTGAGGGATTAATTTGGATTATATAGCTTTGATCACTTTTGATGTAGTTACACCCACATGCCCAGACGGAACCCGGACGTAGCGTCATCATAATAAACGCGCCGTTGGCCCGTTGCTGAGGAGATCACATGATCATACTGGGTATTCCGGGCTGCGCTAAGCCTTTTGGAGCCGGTGGGGCCACCCCCGCGAGTTAGTTGTTCTGCCCCTGACGGTGGGTTATCGCTGCTATCTACTACGGAGTATCTATCTCTCTATCTATCTACTACGGAGAACTACGGTGTATGTTGCGGCATTTGTTGAAGATCCTCTACAGTTACCATGTACATGGGAAAGAAGCAACTGTCATTGCATCTTGTACATGTATCACTGTTTTGCGCGATTCATACTACATCCTAGTGGCTGGATATACGATCGTGAAGACTAATGATCCTTGCTTGAATCAATGATTGGGAAGCAACGAAGGCAGAGCACCGATGGAGAACGAGAAGATCTCGCGGGAGAGCTTATACTCCCGGCAGAATGCATGCATCAAACTAGATACTATGTGGTATTTAGGAAATTAAACCATTATCGCCAATCCAAGTGGGTATTATGGGGTGACATGTAATAGGCCGGGATTTTTAATGTGACTGCAACCAGGTGCGTTGGCACATCAAACCCTGGTCGTTGTAGAAATCAAGACGGGTGGCCGTAAAAACAAACGCCTGCATAACCGTTTGAACAATGCGCATCCTTCCAGAAGATCGCTGAACTGCTCCAATGTACAAATGGGTGAAGATCAGCCCATGCTTTTGATAGAATAAGAGAGATGATCATGGTCGCATAATTGAGGTGACTACCGAGGCATCACCAAACCATTCATGGCCTTTAACTCCGCTAGCTGTGCTTTGAGAATGTCATTGCCGCGCAATACTTCTTCCAACCAGTCAGCCGCCTGCGTGAGCATTGCGCTTTTGCTAAAACCACCGCCTTTTAGGCCAGGAACAAGGGTGCACAGATCATCGAACCCTTGTCTGATCAAGTTTCTTCGCTTTTGCTCCGAAAGAATATGGTTGCTTCTCTTTTGTTCTTCGGTCAGGTTCTCTCGTGCGGGCTTTGGACCTTGGGAAAGCCTTGGTTTCCGAACGGCATCATGTGACATTCGCCTTGATGACGAAGCCTTGGACTTTTTCGATCGTGGCCGCGAGCTTTCCTCGTCTGAGTTTTCGTCGTCTTCTTCCTCCTTGACCAATACTCTTTGCTTCTTCTTGGGTTGGGAAAGATCTTCCATGCTGTCCTTAAACTCTCTGCGCAAGTTGCTGAGTTGTCCAGCCGCATCTGTATCAGTCCATGTTGCATCATAGTTTCCGGTGATGCGCACTGGGCTCGGCGCTCGAGTGTTTGCAGCACTGCTTTGGGCTTCGAAGCATGCCAAGTGACCGAGCAGCTCTTTCGTGCGCTGCTCTTCATCTGGCTGATCCGGCGGTGCAATGTATCCTTGATCCACAAAACTTTCATCCGAGCCCCAATGCAGTGGACGAACCTTGGCGGTCTGCTGTTGCTCCGGAGATATCGGTTCACGGACATCGAAGAGCATCTCTGAGGTGTGGTACCCATGGGGTAACCGAGGACGGGATGAGCTGTTGGGTTGTTTCAAGGGCACATGGCTGGGTTGCGGTTGGAATTTGCCATGAGTGGACATTCTGAGGCTGTTGAAATCTATGTCAGGGGATGGGTATGAATGAGATCCTAAGTTGGTATTGAAATCGGCCCCGTGTATCCCATTATGGTATAGCATGGAAGCAGCCGCGAATATATCTGAGTTGGCACTCAGGTTCCCCGGCATTACGTCCATGAGCGGTTTGTCTATGCTGCGATGAGAGAGGGAGGGTTGTGATGAAAGAGAGGTCGTCGACCCTTCGAAAGTCGGGGGGAGGAGTTCGTCTGAGAAGTCGAAATTGGCGGTGCCAAATGGCTTATTCGATTGACTCTGCAGCCAAAAGTCACTGGAGAGCTGATTGGAGTTCATCGTAGTAAAGAAGTTATCCAGCATCAATGATTCATCTTGATCCAAGAGCGCCGGCCCGGGAGGTGGCGCAGGAGCAGGTTCGAATGGGGTATCTGTAGGGGAGAGAAAAGAATCTAGAGCCCCTCCACATTAGACAGGACGTGGCAGCAGCGAGAAATACACTTACAGCCAAAGGGGCCAGGCTGCGGACTATTCTGGCCATTATGTGTCCCCGACCTGTTTGGATCCATGGCGATGATGGTGGAGGGGGGCGAGAGAAGGCAAGTATGTGATATCGCAAAGAAACTCGACTAGCATGTGCTAGTCTTGAATGAGAGCGGCGCCGAAAGACAGTGCCAACATGCCTTGACCGGCAAAGCGGATGCAGGGAAAGAGAATAAACCCTTTCAAGAATGCGATGACAATATGGTTTCAGAGAGCTCCAGTGATACCAATCACCAGAAGATTGGAAGCTAGCTAGCTATAGGGGACGGTGGTCGCGGAGGGGAGTATCAAAGGTCGATGGTGCCGGGGAAGTACGGGCGAATGTCTGGAGGTCTAGGATACGAAATACCGTCAACAAGACCAAATTCACTTGACGGAAAAGGCATCCCCCACATTGAAACTGACAGTTAGACGGGAGGGTTGACGGCAGAATCCGGGGATTATGGACAGTGGAGAGAGTAACCGTAGATAGTCAGATCGATCATAGCATTAGACAGTCAGTCACCTCACGAGTTGCTTCTCGTCGCTGGGAATCCGTCGGCCTTTTCAAGGCAATCACATGCAAAATTCTGGCGCTCCGGCGGAGGTCGCGTGACGTAAAGCAATTACCATTGATACCCCCAATTGCCAGCCACACACCGGGATCAGGTCGTGTAATTCTGGTTTCCAGACGGTATGAATCGGACCAACTTCCCAGTCCGGGGAGACTCGACCTTATCCGGCCCGATCGATTCCCATTTCTGGTGCCCATCCAATCTATCCATCCACCTATCCACATCTCCATTCATCCACCATGTACACTCACTCTCTGTCTGTCTGCTTTTTTTGTTCTTCCCCGCTGACAGGAATTCTTTTCCTTGATCATCCCTCATCAAGGTGAGCCGTAAAACTGCTCCGGCTCCTCCGATCTGGACGATTCGCTACCATTGTGTCTACTGGAGTTCATACTTTCTTGGCTCCATTACACCAGCTGGTTTCCCCAGGTGACGGCTAGCGGTTGGTTGATAAAACCCCAAGTTTCGAGCGTGGCATAACGGGGGATCGTCGCCTTCCGCCTGGTCTGTAACCCCTGAACCACACCTGGGTTAACGGCCATTCCCCTCGTGTCTTGGACGACCGAGGTCGAATTTCTAATAGTCCGTCGCACGGATCCACGGCCGATCCTACATACAAAAAGGGCTGCCCATCACGGAGCACGTACCACTCTGGGTAACCGCCGCGGAGCCAAGTGTTTGTGTTAGTTTCCTATTCTGTCAAGATCGTTGGGCCGGCTAGAAATGCTTGGATTTTAGTGCAGTATGTCCTGCCACAATCCCTTTGGTTTTCTGCAGAATTCATTCGTCTCTTTTTGTGGCCATGGTCTCGATTCTGTTAATCGGTGGTATACTCCCAAGATACAGTCTGACACCAGCAAATAGGTTGTTTCATTGTTTCACAACTCAAATCCAGACTTCAATGGCACGGTCATGGACTAAATGATTTGGATGCACCATGGACTCGGCCACCATCATTCGCCAGCATCAGAGCAGTATCCGTGTTCTACGGCCGTAAGTATTCATTATTCCCATTTTCGGCCACTTCTGGGTGACGTCGAGCACATCAACTACGGATCAATAGGCTGCGTCGATACTGACCGTAACAGATTTCTACGCGCATACGCACTTGGTTATTTATCTTCAACTACTCCTAGAGTAATATCCTGTCTACGGCGAATTCGGGGGCATGGCTTAAGCTTCGGAGAGCAGCTCAAGGAGGTATGTTAATGTTACCCTGATAGCATTAAGCCCGCTGCACTTATGCATCCTTCGTGATGCGTATACACACATGGAAATTTTCGCTGCCCTACCCGTCTACCATCAGTATCAGGCCAGTGTACTCACTCTGGCTATGCAGTTGTCCACCACATTGACAAGTACTCTACGGCTGGATGCTTTTCCGGCATTCTGTGCTGTACTCGTAGGGGGCTCAACCGTCTTTCCTTTGATTCTCTTACGATGTCTTGCGCATCTCGTTCGTAAGCTGGGTTTGAAACCCGGTCGTTCCAATGCATTGATTCACATGCGACTGGCTAGATTTATTTCTGCGTTACTGTCCGCTTGGTTCAGTTTTCATATTCTGAATCAGAGGCCTATCAGGTTGCAGAGAGCTTGCGACGAATGTCAAGGTGGTACTGATTCAAAAAATGCTGCAGACCAGAGAAAGCTCGGACCGGAGCCGCATGGCCATCCCCAGTTCGCAGGTAGAACCATGGACCTCACTCTTTTTAGCCTTACAAGAGCGGTCGATTTGATGGTCTACATGGGTTGGGCAAATTGGCGGCGATGGCGAAAGTCAAAAAATCAGTGGAGTCTAGTGGAGCGTGTTGCTCCTCAGCTCGCAGATGCGAGTGTGTTCGCCACGAGCGCAGCGATAGTTATGTGGGCATGGTTTTATATGCCTGAGAGGCTACCAAGGTCTTACGGTAAATGGATAGGAGAAGTAGCAAAGGTGGATGGCCGCCTGATTGAAGCACTTCGCCGTGCTAGGCAGGGTGTCTTTGTGTACGGAAAAGACACCGGGCAAGCATCACTACTTCAGTCCATGTGCAAAGATTATAATTGGCCCGTGGAATGGGGAGACCCTTCCAAGACCATCCCGATACCGTGTGAGATGGTCCACATGGGTAGTGGTCATAGCTGTGAAAAGCATGCTCTGTCTCGATTCACGCGAACATTCAGTTTCGCCTGTGCTACCTACATACCTTTACAGATCATCTTTCGTTTGCGGTCAGTAAAGTCCATGGCATCCCTCAAACAGTCCATAGCTGCTGCCTTGCGCTCATCTGCCTTCCTTGCTTCATTTGTGAGCTTGTTCTACTACTCTGTCTGTCTTGCAAGAACAAGGATCGGCCCCAAAGTATTTCACCGCGGAACAGTAACTCCAATGATGTGGGATTCTGGGCTCTGTGTCGGCGCCGGATGCCTGATGTGCGGTTGGAGCATACTCGTGGAGAACGCACGGAAGCGACAGGAGATTTCACTATTTGTGGCTCCCAGGGCTGCTGCAACTGTTCTGCCAAGATATTACGAGAAACAGGTGAGTTCAAATACTTCCATATCACCCAGTGGTTGCAGAGCTTGGAATTTGTCACACTCGTCTTGCCGCTCTCTGCGCCATCCCATTCCAGCTTCGTCGAACATTGTACCACTTTCTAACCGTTGTGGCTTATCTAGTATCAACACCGGGAACGTATAGCATTTTCTATCAGCGCCGCCATTCTTCTGACTTGTCTCCAAGAGAGGCCTGATATGGTTCGGGGTGTATTTGGTCGGATCGGTAGAAGCGTGCTGGCGTGATTGCGCTGAGCGAATGGCGTTTGCAACCGGACGTTTACATGTATAGACTTATTGTTGTTTCTTTCGTCACTCTCATTGTAATTATACAGGGTATCATTAGCGGTTCTGATATGTATTATTATGCCATCATTATTCGTCGAGAATTGAATGAACAAAAGCAAGCAATCTACCCAAGTCTGTAGGTTTTTCTCTCTCGGAAAAAGCCATAGGGCAAAGAATCGCCATCTTGGTCAAGCGCAAATCTCCCGCCAGATAAGATTATCTGATCTCATATGTTTCTCCTGGCCCATCATAGATGCCCGTTATTGGGAAACCGGCACCCTAAATTTGGGAAAGCCCAAGAATAGAAACCTGACGATCTCTTTAGATCGAGTGTCTAGAAGCTCACCTGAAACAGAAGACAAATGTTTTAGAGCTAAGTTTGACCCAGGGGAAGATCAATCTTTCTTGACTTTACACTGGCAAGATAAAGGGGTTTTTGATAGTAGGACCAATATTCGGGGTATCGCTTCATCGGATATTCCTGCATCCAGGATGATTCTCAACAAGCTCTCTCTGGGTTGAGACATCATGTTATATTACTAGTAGTACTGCATACCTTAGTACACCTAAAGTGCTCTAATTGAAACATAAAGCATGTAGTAGTCACATCACGATAGAACTTCGTTATAAACTTGTGGCATGCTACTACTATAGTAAGTATCAACTACTAGTACTTATTTGCCCTAAAGGTATATACATAGGGGCCTGAAGGGCCGCGTAGTGAGGGTAGTAGTATATTTAATAATATTTAATAATAATATATTATTATCATTCATTATTATTACCTGTAATTACTTATTCTTATTTACTGTTACTATATAATTTAGTAATAGTTATATATAATAATAGTCAGTTATTTATATATTATAAAAAAATTATTTATTATTATTCTCAGATAAATTTTATTCTAAATTAATAAATCTTATTTAAACTAGGTAATTATACTCTATTATTATAAAGTTATATATTATTTAATAATACTTATTAGATTTTATTAATAAAATAAATAATCTTTTATTTAATATTTTATATATTAATAATATCTGTTACTTACAGTCAGAAAAAATACTATAAAATTAAATAATATATATAAATTATAAATATTTTTAATTTATTGATTATATTATTCACATAATAATATATTCTTATAATTAAGAATCTTGAAAATTATATAAAATTATATTAAAAATAATAAAGAACTGAATTATAATAATTATATAAAATTAATATTTTATAAATAATATATTAAATCCAGTCTATTATTATTAGTTAATAATTATTTAAAATTATTATATATATTTACTATGAATGCTTGTTTAATCTTATTTTATAATTTTAATAATAATTAACTCTCTGAAGAATAGTAATAAGAGAATATTATTATTTAATTTAAATTATTAAATTTCTAATACTGTATTAAAAGAAATAAAAAAATTTATAATTAAAAATAATATTTTATATTACAGTTAAAATATATTAATAAAAATCTATATTTAATAAAGCTTCCAACAGTAATTATTTATAAATAATTATAAATAAGAAGATAGTTAGTATAATATTAATATAAAAAACTATTATAAAAGACTTTTATAATAATTCTATAAAATAATCAGAGATTTACCAGAAATAAAACTTAATATAATAATAATAAGATAAGTTAGACTTATTATACTAAACAGATACTGAGATAGAATATTCTTTTTAATAAATAAAAAATAATATATTTAATATATCCTACTCAGAAAAAGAATAATAATAAAATTTAATAAAATATATTATTAAGATCTGTATATCAGTATTAAATTTATTTATAAAAATATATTTCTAGATAAGATATAGATAAAATTTATATAATTTTTAGATTATTTAAAATAAAATTAAATAATTATCCTGCCAGGAACCAGTAAGATCTAGATATATAAAATAATAAAATTAATTTAACTAGAAAAAATAAACCATAAATTAAAATAATAAAATATAATTAATCTATTTTTTAAATATTTTTACAAGAAGTATCAGTAATTAATTATATATATTTAAATAAATATTTATCTATATTTCAGTTTATCTACTAAAAT